TTCCGAGACTCGCTCTGATCCCTAATCCGCTTCTGATTTCAAGTCTAGATCGGATCGCAAATAAGATTTTAAGCTATATTTTGATTGTGATTCCAAGTCCGGCTCCTATCTTAAATCCGGTTTTGATTTCAAGTTCAGATCAGATCCAAAATTCGGTTCTGAGTCAGATTTTGATTCTGATTCCAAGTCCGGCTCTTGTCTTAAATCCTGAATAGATTTTAATTTTAGATCGGATCACAAATACGATTTCGATTGCGAATCCGGCTCGGAATACAAATCCGGTTCGAAGTCAGATTTTGATTCCAAATGAGACTTTTGCCCTGATCATAAATCCGGTTCCGATTTAAAGTGCGGCTTTAATCATATATCAGGTTACGAGTCCGATTTTAATTCTGATACCTAGTCAGGCTCTGATCTCGAATCCGGTTCTGATTTCAAGTCCAGATCGGATCACAAATCCAGTTGAGAGTCAGATTTTAATTGTGATTCCACGTCTGGCTCTTATCTTAAATCCTGTTTAGATTTTAAGTTCAGATAGGATCCCAAATCGGGTACTGAGTCAGATTTGAGTTCTGATTCCAAGTCCGGCTCTTGTCTTAAATTCTGTTTAGATTTTAAGTCCAGATCTGATCACAATTACGGTTTCGATTACGAATCCGGCTTTGATTACAAATCCGGTTCCGAGTCAGATTTTGATTCTGATTCCGAGTATGGCTCTGATCCCTAATCCGGTTCTGATTTTAAGTCCAGATCGGATCACAAATCCGGTTCCGAGTCAGATTTTGATTCCAAAGGTGACTCTTGCTGTGATCATAAATCCGGTTCCGATTTTAAGGCCGGTTTAATCATATATCCAGTTCCGAGTCAGATTTTAATTCTGATTCCAAGTCCGGCTCTGATTCCAAATCCTGTTCTGATTTCAAGTTCAGATCGGATCCCAAATCCGATTGTAAGTCAGATTTTGATTCTGATTCCAATTTCGGCTCTTATCTTAATTCCTGTTTAGATTTTGAGTCTATATCGGATCACAAATACGGTTTCGATTACGATTCCGACTCTGATGGCAAATCCGATTTCTAGTCAAATTTAGATTCTGATTCCAAGTCCGGCTCTGATCCCGAATCCAGTTCTGATTTTAAGTCCAGATCGGATCACAAATCAGGTTCCGAGTCAGATTTTGATTTCGATGGCGACTCTTGCTCTGATCATAAACTCGGTTACGATTTAAAGTCCGGTTCAATCATATATCCGGTTCCGAGTTAGATTTTAATTCTGATTCTGAGTCCGGCTCTTATCTTAAATCCTGTATAGATTTAAAGTCCAGATCGGATTACAAATACGGTTTCTGAGTACAAATCCGATTCCAAATCTGATTTTGATTCTGATTTTGAGTTTGGCTCTGATCCCAAATCCAGTTCTGATTTAAACTCCGAGTTTAATCATATATCCGGTTCCGAGTCAGATTTTGATTCTGATTCCAAGTCCAGCTCTTATCTTAAATCTTGTTTAGATTTACAGTCCTTTATCGGATCACAAATACCGTTTCGATTACGAATCTGGCGCTGATCCCAAATCCTATTCCGAGTCAGATTCAGATTCTGATTCTGATTCCCCCTCCGATCATAAATCCGGTTCGGATTTAGAGTCCGGCTTTAATGATATTTCCCGTTTCGAGTCAGATTTTGACTCTGATTCCAAGTCCGGCCCATATCTTAAATCCTGTTTAGATTTAAGTCCAGATTGGATCACAAATACGGGTTCGATTACGAATCCGGCGCTGATCCCAAATCCGATTTTGAGTCAGATTATGATTTATAATCTAGGTCTTCCTTCGGTCATAAATCCGGTTACGACTTAGGGTCCGGCTTTAATGATATTTTCGGGTACAAGGCAGATTTTGTTTCTTATTCCTAGTCTGGCTCCTTTTTTAAATCCTGTTTAGATTTTTAATGCAGATCTGATCACAAATACGGGTTCGATTACAAATCCGACACTGATTCCGAATCCGATTCCAAGTTGTGATTGTGAATTAGCTTCTTATTCCCCCTCCCATCATAAATCCGGCTCCGAGTAAGAGTCCAGCCTCAATAATATATCCGGTTCCGAGTCAGATTTTGATTCCGATTGCGACTTTTCCTTCGATCATAAATCCGGTTACAATTTAAATTCCGGCTTTAATAATATATCCGGTTCCGAATCAGATTTTTTAATTCTGATTTCATACCGGCTCTAATCCCAAATCCGGTTCTGATTTCAAGTCCATATCAGATCACAAATACGGTTTCGATTCCAAATCCGGCTCTGATCCCAAATCCGGTTCTGAGTCAGATTGTGATTTAGATTCTGAGTCTCCCAACGATAATAAATCCGGTTCCGATTTAGAGTCTGGCTTTAATCATATTTTCGGTTTCGATTCGGATTTTGAATCTAATTCCAAGTCTGGATCTTATCTTAAATCGTGTTTAGATTTTAAGTCAAGATCGAATCACAAATACTTCATCGATAACGAATCTGGCTCTGATTACAAATCCGGTTCCGAGTCAGATTTTGATTATGATTCCGAGTCCGGTTCTGATTTCAAGTCGAGATCCGATCGCAAATCTGGTTCTAATTCAAATTTTGATTCTGGTTCCAAGCCTGGCTCATATCTTAAATCCTGTTTTGATTTCAAGTCCAGATCTGATCACAAATCCGGTTTCGATTCCGAATCCGCCTCTGATCTCAAATCCAGTTCAAAATCAGATTGTGATTTAGATTCTGAGTTCCGCTCCGATCATGAATCCGGTTCCGATTTAGAGTCCGGCTTTAATCATGTATCCGGTTTCGATTCAGATTTTGATTCTGATTCCAAGTCCGGATCCTATAATAAATCCGGTTCTGAATTCAAGTCTAGATCGGATTCCAAATTCGGTTCTTGGTCAGATTTGATTCTGATTCTGAGTCCAGCTGTGATTCAGAATCCGTTTCTGATTTCAAGTCCAGATCGGATCACAAATCCAGGTCCATTTCAGATTTTAATGCTGATTCCAACTCCAAGTCTTTTCTCTAATCGTGTTTTGAATTTAAGTCCAGATCAGATCACAAATACGGTTTTGATTCCGATTCTGGCTCCAATTACAAATCCGGTTCCGAGAAAATTTTGATTCTGATTCCGAGTCCGGATCTGATCCCGAATTTCGGTTCTGATTTCAAGTCCGAATCGGATCTCAAATCTGGTTCTGAGTCAGATTTTGATTCTGATTCCAAGTCCGGCTCTTATCTTAAATCCTGTTATGATTTCAAGTTTAGTTCGGATCACAAATCCGGTTTTGATTCCAAATCCGGCTCTGGTAACAAATCCGGTTCTGATTTAGATTGTGATTCCGATTCTGACTCCGCTTCCGATCCTTAATCCAGTTCTAAGTCAGATTTTGATTCTGATTCCAGGTCCGGCTCTTATCTTAAATCCTGATTTGATTTCAATTCCAGATCAGATCACAAATACGGTTTTGATTCCAAATCCGGCTCTGATCCCAAATCCGGTGCCGAGTCAGATTGTGATTTACATTCTGAGTCCCCCTCCGATCATAAATCCGGTTGCGATTTAGAGTCAGGCTTTGAAAATATATCCGGTTTCAAGTCAGATTTTGATTCTGATTCCAATTCCGGCTCTTATCTTAAATCCTGTTATGAGTTCAAGTTTAGTTCGGATCACAAATCCGGTTTTGATTCCAAATCCGGATTTGGTAACAAATCCGGTTCTG